AATGCTAAATCTAACACTAAATTGAGACATCAAATTCAAGAAAGTTCACATTTAACTAGAAAAATAATAAGAAAAGGTTTTCAAAAAATTTAAGAATTGCTAAATTAGTTGAAACAAGCAATCAGGCAGGAAGAGGTTGAAACTCTTACCTTAAATTCAAAGGAGTTTATGGTAAACTTTGTAAACCCTAATCATGAGAGTGATATATCCATTCCAGCACTTTTACTACTATAGGTTCCATTAAAAACTCCAATAAAAGCTCCTCTACTTCTGTACAAGTGGCACCTTCCCAAGTTGTGATCAGTTAGAACAAACCTTGCCTTACTACAAATTCACCTCATCTACAAGCTACACTTGCTAAGAATGTTTGGAAGCTTTAACATTATCTTGTTTGCTAGAAAGGTTTTTCAAAGATTCCAAATAATCAATGTTGTCCTCCATAAGATGCAATTCATTGCTACCTCACTTATTGAAAATGATTTCCAAATTTATACACGTGGATGAAATTTTATCCTCCCTATCCCTCGCTGACTAATTTATGCCTTAATTTTAACTCGTTGAGAGATGAATGCTTTAAGCGAGGGAGAATAATGGAATATGAAATAATGGATAATTAAGATAATCAAGATTTATTTAAGATATTAGAATTATTCATTAAGGATATTTGAATAAGGATTTTATCTATTAGAATAATGATTTATTATTTATCTTAAATATCAGTATTTTTTAAGATTAGATTTAGATTTAGGATTTGGGATTTGAATTTAAATTTTAATTATTTTATTCTTTTTAGATCTTTATAAATAGAGCTAGGTTTTTCAATTGTATTTAGCTTTTGAGTATTATTAAATAAAAGTTTTCAAGAGTTTCATCTTTTTCCCTCCTTCTTTCTCTCTCTCATGAGCTTCCACGCAATTATTAGCCAAATTTTTGGGTTGTGCACTGTAGTGCATGCAACTTAGGCCACAGCACATGGTATAATGACAAAAATCTTCACCATGTGCACACACTTCATTTTAAAACATGATCCTTTTACCTATATCTGCTCATCTAACATTTCAAAGAGTCAAAACATCAATTACCATCCAAAATCCTAATCACTCACTAATTTATTAATTTACCTTCAATTAGCAATTAGTTTCAAAATTAGAAAATGATGATGTTACATAGCTCACACATTGGACTAATCAAAGCATTCAATGCTCAAGATATACCAGGCCAAATGTACAGAACCCAAGCCCCAAACTATAGATCCACTCCTTAAAGAACCCAACTGACAAGTGTCACTGTCTCACCTCTCCCATTTACAAACTTGATCAAGTAAGTATTAAGGAATAGGACCTTAAGGTGTCAATATCCCACATTCTCCCTTATAAACTCAGCCAGGTAAGTATTAAGAAATAAGGCTCCAAAAAAGGCCAATCACTGTGCGAGAGTTGGAGGCAAACCATGTAATCATAAATCATATATGTCAACATCAACATCATCATCTCTCCAACCCATCACCAATGCATATCATCCATATGCAACAATCACTGTTTACAAACAAGCTCTAAAGGAAAAAATAGTACATCATTGAATCATCCACAATCACATTCTTTACAATTTCTTAACAGTTTATCATATAATATATACATATGTATCATAAATTAGATAAACTTATGCACAAGCATACTTGTATAAGTCATCACATCAATTCTAGTTTGCACAGACATGGAAAAATCCTAAGTTATATGTTCTTCTTGAGCTTACAAATAGCCACCACAATTCCAAGTACTAAGTTCTCAATAAGAGTCTACATAAGTTACACACATATAAAAATATTAATATATAATTTAAAACTACTTAAAGGTTATCTTGTAGAAACTTGACGTTTACTTTAAAGTTAACCTAGGACATTAAAGTTATTTTAGAGAACCCCAAAATTATCTTTTAAATTTAATATTCATTTGTATAAACTAGTTTATCTGTATTTGTACTTTTAATAAACCATTTTTATAGCTCAAAAGTATTAATTTAAAGTCTTTATTTGTCTCAAATCTTATACGAGTCCTCAAATCTCATAGAGATAAATAATTCATATATGGAGATCAAATCTCTTAAAACCTCAAAATAGATGTAAATATAATATTAGAGTAACACTCTTGTAGTAATAAAACTAAGAAAATTTAAAATATATCGCATCCTAGATCTTTAAGCATCAAGAACCTAAAAATTAAGAAGGTAAGTAGTTAAAATAAATTTTTTAAAAACTTACCTAATTTTAAAAAGTTTCAAATCGCTGTTGAAATATCTGATTATGAAGCCTGAGTTTAACACCATGTTTGAGAGATTTTCTTTTTTATGGAGGAATGGAATGAAGTGAGATGCCTAAAAGACATAAGTCATTATTTGTGAGTTTTTTTTTTTTTTAAGAATGATGGAATGGCAAGGAAGGGGCTCTAGAGCCCTCCTTTGCCATGTATCGCTCAATATTTTTATCCCCCAATTTGGAGGCTCAAGGATGGAGTGGCATAGTATAATTGTTTCATTTACAAAATTACCCCCAACCTTCTATCCTAATAAAAAAAATCTCATCTGTTATTTTCATTCTCAAGCCATCTTTCTTGCCTCTTGCTAGGGTTGCACATGGGTAGGGTCGAGCCAAACATCACTCTAGCCTAGTGCCCAACCTGATGTGTACTTGGGTATCAGGCTAGCCTAATTGACCCGAAAATATTTTTCAAGTGTTTTATTAAAAAATATATATAAATGGTTTTCCTTGAAAAATATTATTATTATTATTATTATTATTTAAAATATATTATTCATAAAATGAAACTAATATTAGAATTAACAGCAATTTTTTAAAAGTTCAAATGAATAACAATTGCCAATTATTTTTACATAATAATAAGTTAAAAATAAATTTTAAATTTTCAAAGAGATTTAAAAATTGTAATGATAAAAAATATCTAAAATATTATAAAATAATATAATTTATGATAACTTTCAATAAAAAATAATGTCATATGATAAATATTATTCACAAAAAGTTTTAAAAGATAAAAAAAATTTGCACATGTTTAAGCAAGACAAGGTTTTGCCCCTATCGATGCTTGGTCCCATGTGCCCAATGCTTCGGGCAAGGCTGGATTGATTGAGCATTCAAACATAGTGCATAACCATACCTCCAGTTATATCACTTTCGCTCTTGCCATCTCTCTCTTTCTCGCCTTTCAACACTTTGTCTCTATTGTGTTTTTCTTTTGTACAACATGAATGTTTGCTTAAATAACTTTGTTACTTGCTTTCTTGTTTTATTCGTAATTCTTGAATATCTTGTTTAACCATTAATTATTATTATTATTATTATTATTTGTTGCATAAATATTATAATTATTTAATGGGCATTATTATTATTATTATTTCTTTAAATTTAGTAATATGAATAATGTTGGGAAAAATTTTTTTAAACAGTTCCATTCCATTTATTTTATAATAACTTTCAAACAATGGTAATGTAAAACCATTCCTTTTTATCATAAACCTTTCAAATAATAAAATTTTTTGTTCTATTTCATTCCACTCTACTTCATTCTATTCTATTTCATCAATGACAGTTCCTTTCTATTTAATCATAAACTCCTAAATATACTCTAAAATCTCTCCCTTGCTCTGTTCTCTCCCCCAGCGGCGCTGCCTCAATTTGTTGAATTTGTGGAGTGTGTGCCGTTGGGTGTTTAGAATAGGTTTAATTGGAAAGGGAGTGGGCCTTGGGCCCACATCCAACTGCATTACCTTTTCTTTCTGTACCTATGTGTGTATACTTATATACTCTTCTGATATCTTTTGTAAATGATTTATATCAATCTTATCAATATCAATATAAAAGAAGTACAGAAAATAAATTTGTATAAAATTTTAAATATGCTCTTATATAATAAATCTAAAAAATAATATCATGTTATTTTTTCTCTTTCATGAAGGATAATGTAAGAAATACTTTTCAAATTTTACCTAAAAAGTCGCACTGTGACTTATAAATGTGATTAAATAGATCTTTTAGGATGTGACTTATAAATAAAATTATAGGGAGTATAATTGTTTCACCACTACCACCACCATCATTATGTTCATGAATTTAAATATTTATATTTTATTTTATTTTAGATAAATTCTCCTTTTAAACTTATGTTACATATTTTCTAAATTTTTAATCCTTAATAAATGCCCAATAATTTCATCCTATATCTTGAAATTGGTTATAATTAATTCATTTTTTAGTGATTAAAATTTAGGATGTTACATCTAATATATTTAAAAGAGGGATTCATAACTTTCATGTTTATCAATTACCAAGAAATTTGGTCCATTGTAAAGGAAATTGTCTCAAGTTCTTTCGAATGCATATTAATTATCATCTCACAGATCTGAATAGTGTGAATTCTAGCCTTTGGTTCCATGTAAGGGCGAAAGTTCTAAATACTAATTTTATTTGATACCTAATTATCTACTAGAAAATTGGTTGGGAACAGAAATTTATCCCTGATATAAAAAATTCATTACTGACAAAAAAAAAACTTGTTTTATGTGCAATTGCATACTACTATTTATTTGAAAGTGAAGGATCACATCAATTTAAGTAGTTTCCAATAATTTCCTCAGCTATTACAGTGTTGTGTGGCGGATATAAATCAAATAATTTTGAAAAAATATTTATGCAATTTTGAGTAATTATTTATGTAGGGTAAAATTAAGTATAATTTTAAAAAATATATCTTCCAAGAAACGGACAAAACCCCATGATTTAATCAAGCATGCTAAATTTGATCTCAAGTTCTTTCAATGTAGCAGTTCGACCGTCTTATTACTTGAATCCTTGCTAAATTAATTGACTTCAATTTAACTTGAACTATATTATAAATCATTAACCTTATTAATTATGTACTCTAACTTTATGAATATATTATAAATCATTACACTTTTAGCAGCAGCAACTTTTGACCATTTAATAACAATTATATATATATATATATATATATATAGTGATGAGACTGCCTAGTTTTACTCAAAAGAGGTACATGTAATTTATGTTTCAATAATCACACTGTTATACTCTTTGGCACTCCTCTTCCTGTGGTCCCAGGTCCTGAACTTGGAATAAGCAACTCATATGGTGACACTCCAGCACCACATCTATTCCTAAGCTGTGGGTCACCATTTCTTCTCTCAATCTCTTTCTCGACACTTCTTATTTCCATTGAGAACTCATAGAATGCATCAATTATCTCAGGATCCCCCACCCAACTTGACAAATCATTTCTATCCCCAATGTACTCTTCATCTGGTGAATGTGCAGAAATTATATCAATCACAGCCATGAACTTCGTTGCCTGGAATAAACTTGGCAATGATGACACGAAGTACTTCTTGGGGTTTGCCACAAAACTTGCATGGTCGGGATCATTCTCACTAGGAATCAATCTTCTCATTAATGGCGGACGAGTTGGAACGTAACCTCCAAAAGGGTATTGTCCAAAGTTCAAAGCAGCATGCTGTGCTGACACGGTCCAAATTATTGTGGAAAGTATGAACATAAGATCTTGAGGAGTTTCAAGTTTTGGCCACCAAGGAGCATCTTTAAGATCAGCATGCCCCAGATTTATGGATTCTTTGTACCATGATTGGAGCTCATGATCTAAAGAAACGGCTTTTGAATCTTTGTAGTAATAGTTTACATATTTTTGAACCAACTTCTCTATGCTTGACCATATGAGGAGCCCGTCAGAGGCATAAGGATAGTCTTCGATAAGTAGCCTAACTCCGTGAGGCTGAGTTGCATCAGGAACTGCTACACCTCTGAATATAAAGATAAAATTAATCGTTTAGCTCAATGTCTGGCTACAAGGGGAATTCATGATAATTAATAAAGGGAGAGAGTTCATAGATGCATGACTTAATTTATTTTGAGATATGCAATATTTTTCTGCATATAAAATATTTTTATAATACAGTTTATAAGGAAAGTCATATATATATATATATAGATCTTCTCTAGTAGTGAATGTCATTTTTTTTTTCCTCCAACATCCAACTCATTCATTAGATTCATCCTATGATCAATCTTGAAGAGTCATTTCTCCATATCAGAACAAAGTGTTTCATTTAACATGAAATATTGCGCTTGAATCTTTAATTGGATTTCTGAATCCCTTGACAATCATTAGAGGGAACTAAGATAAGACCTGGAAAGAAAATTCTATATTCATGATTGGAATATATCTGCTTTAATTAGTAAGGAGAGTCCAAGTAGAATTTACGAAGCTGCAAGAAAGAAGATCTTATGCATTTTCTTGAGACACATGTGTAGTGTGTGTGTGTGTGTGTGTGTGTGTGTGTGAAAGGTAGGTTTACCTTCTAATGAGATCAGCAGGAAGCGGTTCAAGGTCAAAGCGCCACCAGTCTCTATAAGCAGCACAACTAATTTGCATGCAATATTTGGCAGGAGTGAAGTCTGATTCAATTATGCCTCCTGCATTGATGAGTGTCTCACGAGCCATTGCATTTATCTTCAGGGTGTACCTCATGTGAGGATGCAGAAGCTTGAATACTGGATGCATCACACTCAATTGTCTATGGGTGGCTATTATAAATGGTTCCATGCATGCATGAGTCCGCAACCTATTCCACATATAATTTCACCCCAAAAAGAAAAAAATGTGAACACACACATATATAAATGGGTTAAAGAGAAATTGTACCTTTAAACTGTAGGTTTTGGTGCAATGTTTTCTTGGTCCTTTTTTCTAATGTTTTGTTCAACTAACCTTCAAAATTAACATTTGCTAACAATAGTGACAGTATTGCATTGTTGTCCAAAAATTAAAGTGGAACATTGCATAAAAACAAGTTCAGAGTCATAGATGCTCCTGAACCTATAATTTATAGGGGCAAATTTGCCATTTAACCTTACATAAATTGATAAATTTGTTTAGAGTTTGTATGTGTAAATGGCTTAAGATATATCTTTTGAATTATATATTTTGTAAAAGAAGACAAACAGAGATAGATTGCATACCAATGGTGAACAAGCTGGTGAACACCAGCATCATTAGAGCAAACATGGGCTTTGGCAAGCTGCCATAACCAGTTGGAGGTGGCGTCCATTGGAGGAGTGAGGACTCTCTTTGGATGAATTGGTGGAAGAGTGAGCTCGATTGCTATGGGTTTTAGAGTGCCCACTTGTGTTAGAAAGAAAATTGTGCGAGTTGCATAGGTTTTGCGATCCTCAAGAGCATTTATACGATCCAAGAATGGAAGGTACAAATCATGGTAATCCAATATGAACAACTTATTCTCTTCCAATGCCTGCAGCAATTTCAGAACCAAATTAAAGATCCTTTTCTTATATAGGTTTACTCATCATATCTTGTTTCAATTGGCAAGCCAACAAATTATATCTTAATGTGGTCTAAAGCATCCCGATATCGTAATTTTGAGAACTTATACAAATGATTCAATTAATGTTGATACCTGTGAATTTTAAATTAGTACATTGCAATTTTTCCTTCCAACTTTTAAAAATGTTGTCATGTTTTTCTAGTACATTTTATCAAGTAATTTGTCCGATTTAAAAGGGATTGCTTTAGTAAAACCCAAATTGTGTGTGCATGAGAGAGAGAGAGAGAGAGAGAGAGAGAGAGAATGAGGGAAGGAGGGAGGAAGAAGAATACCTGTTGGAGGTGCATTCCATCAAGATGATCTTTAATGTGTTCTTCCTTGATTGCTGATTCTGATGGACCATAGAGAGACGGATCTAGTTTGCTTTTAGGAGGAAATTCCTGTTGAAATAGAATGATAGGAAAAAAATGATAGCAAGGAAAACAAATAGCACAAATTAAATGTTTTGTTATGTTAGACACTGATGTGCTGATTGATATATTGTACATGAAAATTTTTGAAAACAAGAGTGGCCGCACATATCAAAATAATGAACAGTTTATTGTCAAATAATAGTACAAATTGTTTGCAACTAGTAGCTAATAATGATTATGTAAGAATATGATATCAAACTATTAATGTAACAAATACTTTCAACTTGGTTGGAAAGTACTAGTTGTTATTATTTATACCTTGAGGATTTCAATGCTCAAAGGGTTAATACCAGCAAGCATTTGGCGCGCAAATTCGTCATCTCGCAAGAAATAAGATGTGCTTCCTGAAAATTATAAGCTTATTTTAAGTATTATTTAATAACCTTAGCATAAAAAGATTTTTTTTTCCTTATATCAAGATAATCCATATACATTTAATAACTATTTTAATTGTCATCAATGAATCTTCAAGGTCTTTAATTATCATTATCTCAACAAGTTTCTATGTTTATTTGTCTTGGATTATATTCAAATTTAAGAAACATATTGTGATAGGTATATCAATTTTACTTACTTGAAGATAGCTTTGGAGGATCAAATTTGAAAAATTCATCGATGGTGCCTTGCAAGTTATTGAAAATCTTGGGGAGTGATTTTTGAGACTTCGTCATTCCAAAATGTGATGGTTCTTTAAAGATGTTGTCAATTTCAGATACCTCATCTTCACTGCCTGAAATGATATCTAACAATGATGGAACAATATTCCTAAGCCTTCCTTTGAATTTTCCCTTATCAACAGTTTCTTTCTTCAAGTCCTCCAATTCCTCATCCCTTGGAACGTATATTGATTCAAATTCAGGCAATCTTGACTCTGCTGTGACGTCTGTTCATATAGATACTATATTAAAGTAAAAGAAATTACAAGTAAGTTAACACGTTATTACAAGTACATCTATACACACATTGTTGCTGTAAACAAAAGTATTAAGGCCGGTTTTGTTGTTAAAAAAAAATGGAATGGAATACAATGACATGAGTTGATAAAAAATAAAATGAACTAAAATAAAATCAGGAATTAATATTGATAGAAAAATGTTTGTACACACACATAGAAATTTATATATATATATATATATACACTCCTTTTTGGCCTTTAATATATACTTGTAAACATTTTAATGCACACTAAGAAAAATTATTAGATTGTTTTATTTTATAAAATAATATTTTAATTATATTATTATTAATTAAAAGAAATTTAACCTTATCATGCCTTGTTCAAGTTATAAAAAGCTCTTAAAATTATATGTGTAAAAATGGAGTATTTATCAATTGATTGACCAACTTTTATTTTTAAAAGATGTCTTATAGCATAAGGGATGGGAGAGAGAGTGTGGGTTTCACGGTTTTATTTTAAATGTTTATAAGATTTTCTATAAAATATATATATAACTATAAATAATTTTTTATCTTTTATTTTTTAAATTATAAAATTAATTTTTGAAAAATCAAGTATGATAAATGTTAAAAGTTTTAAATTAATTAATTATTTTTTTTCAAAAAGTTGGCCCCCTAACTATGGCTGGTTCGGTCTCTGCCTATATTGCATACCGCTGCTCGAAGGTGGACGACCAGTACGACATCGTCTAGGATGAGGGTTGAGTGAGCCACCAAGTGTTGGTCTTTTCAGTTCATCTCCTTTGTCTGGATCACCCAAATCATTGTAAACATCATAGTCGTATATCCTTTGAGAACGTGTCCTCACTCCTGTCCCATCACCTCTTTTCTCCTTCAATCCTTCTTCTCTTGCCTTCTTTAGTCCTACTGGTGTCTCACGTGGTAAATATGCCTGTTCAAATACTGGTCACGGTTACTTTTATGTCTTCTATATATGGGAAAGGCACTTTCCTTTTCTTCCTCTTTTTTTTTTTCTTACTCCCTCTGATCCTATTTATAAATTTAATTTTAAAAGGTATATTTAATCTCATTTATAAACTACAGTGCATCTTTTTAAATAATATTTAAGAGGTATTTTTAAAATTATCCTTCATGAAATAGAAAAAATAACAGAACATTACTTTTTAAATTTATTATATAGAGACATGTTTGGAATTTTATTTACTTTTATTCTTCATACTTTTATTATATTAGTATTAATGAGGATGGTAGAAATGACTTATAAATAGAACCGAAGGGAGTATGCTTGATTGTTAGGTAGGCAAATAGATTCCGCAAGCGCACTCAAACACTAAGTGACTGTATTTAAATCGTTAAGCTTCATGTCAATAATTTTAAATTTATATTTTACTTAATATTAATAAATATATAATTTTATCTAAATCATCAATTCAAATTTTAACAATTTCAATAATATAAATATTAAGTACCGAATTTAAATTTTAAATTCACCTCTCTTTAGAAAAAATTATAAAAAATGTATAAATTTTATAATTTTTCACCGCTTTACTTTTAATATTTTTCACTATTTAAATTAAATAAAAAAATATTTGAACCCAAAAGTTTATTATATGTGTAATATTTTAATAATTGAGATAAGATATAAAAAAGATATTTACATAAAAAATTATATTAGCATGTTTAATATAATTTTCTAAAAAGAAAAATGATGATCAATATCTACTTATATTATTACAATTTTAGTCATAATGTAATTATTATTTTTAATTATTTAAATTATTTTTTTAAAAATTATTAATTTTTAAATTAAATTATTTTGTACCCTTAATTTTGAATCTTGGCTCAACCACCAGGTCAAGTGTTACAATAACCAAATATAATGTATTTTAAAAAATAAAATGAGATCAGTTTTAAGATGTTTTATTTTTTATTTTGAAAATAAAAAATGAAAAAGTAATTAAAATTAAAATAGTTATTCAAAAAAAATTATATTTTATTTTTAAAAATAGAAACCAAATTATCATCTCCGAGCCTTAAAATATTATATTTTGCATTGTTGTTACTATAGCATGATTATCTATCTGTTCCACGGATTAATTGGCCTAGACTAACCAATAATCCATCAATTCAATATGGACCTTTTAATAACACAATTTAATATGAACGGTGATTCTTTGGGCGTTGGACAATTACATCTTTGTCTTAGCTGATCCCAATTTGGATCTCTCCTTATTTTCAAGGAAAAAAAAAGGGAACTTTTTAATATATATATATATATATATCCAACCTCTACCACCTTAATAAAGTTGAGGCGAAGTCTGGTACCATTGAACCAAATTGACTCAATGGTACCAGACTTCGCCTCAACTTCGTTAAGGTGGTAGAGGTTGGAGGTTCGAGTCTGGGGAGGTTTCAAAAGACCCCCGTGAGGGTGGGGTGAGGAATAACCACTGTACCACCAGTGGGAAAGCCGGCAATCATGTGGTGACATGTGTGTTGTCCAGCGCCTGGGAAAAGACCCTGGAGAGGCAGTGGTGACCCAGGAGGGCTGTTACATAAAAGGCGCCTTTTATGTAACAGTACGGAGCCACCCCTTGGGCCTCGACTCGGTACTGGTATATATATATATATAACTGTCAATTAGGGCCAGCCCAGTCCTAAAAGGTCGGAAGGGCCAGGGCCTAAACGGGCTAGCCCTAATAAGCCCGATTGCATGTCAAGATTTTATTTTATAAGGCCTAACCTTAGCCCTCAGGGCTAAAGGGCCGGCCCTCAGGGCCTCGGTCCTATTTTTTTAAAATTATTTTTTCAATTAAAAATTATAAAAAATATATTTATAATTATAATAAAGTTATTATTCATAAAATTAAGTTTAAGAAAATAATTTTATATCAATTTATATTACAATAATAAAGAAAACTAAAATATTTAGGTCTAATATCAAATAGCAATATTAAAGTGAATACCAATAAAAATTAAATTTAGCTAATATTATTAGTCAAATTTTAATAAATAAATGAGAGATAGATGAATACATTTAATATATTCATTTTTTTGAGTTATGTATTTAATCTTTTATTTTTTTATATTATAATTTCTAAAAAATTATAAAAGGATCTAAAAGGGCCGGCCCTTTTATTTTCGAGCCTAAAAGGGCCTTGATTTACTTTTTTAAAAGTAAAATAGAAGTTCAACCCTCAATTTTTTCGAGCCTAAAAGGACTAACCCTAATTGACGGCTCTATATATAAATATATAATATTTAAATCTGGCCTGAAATATTTATAACTTTAAAAAACATATTTTACAAATCGTGAATAATACAATTTATCTTTCAAATTAAGTACATTACAAGTAATTTATAAAAATTAAATCTCCTTTGCATTATATAAAATTTGAAAAGTGGGTGATGATATTATTCAATTAGTTTTTATCAAAAAAATTACAATGAATAAAATTTATTTTTATAATATCATCTAATTTCTAATATTATTGAGTCATATCCAAGCATTGTCAAGTTATATATAAATATAATTAATCATTATCGTTTGAAAGGAAAAAACACCAAATATTTATATATAGTTATGAAACTTTAAATATTTTTTGATAAAAATTAAATTTTAGAAACTAAACCAACAATTGCAACAAATTCAAGGGACGGTGCAATTTATCATCCCTTTTAAAAACACAAAAACTTGATTAAAATAATTTATAGCTATAATATAAAGGCAGTGTGGAATTTGGTACGAAACCAAACGCTTCTAAAAGCAGTTAGGTCCATCTAACCTTTATATGCAAAACATCGATCATTAGATGCACTTAATTATTGGATCCAAAAAATATTTTTTTTATTTTTTAATTAAAAAACAGCTCAAGTGGCTTAAAAAAATCATCACCATCGATATATACCTGTATGTATAAAGAAGACGAGAAAATCTCATCTGACATCATGACTATTTATACTAAGAGATATTAAATTTTGTTACTTTTAAACTTAGCCTTTTCTTCCTCCGATACTTAGAGATGGCCCGTAGATGAAAATTATAAATTATGCCTTCAAAGATTTTAATTAGCTTGATTTTCTAAATAATTTCAATTTCTGCCCTCATAAAAAAATCACTCGCTTTCTTTAAAAAAAATCCACTCCTCTTCCTAAAACTTACTTGACCCAGAAACTTATATGCATATAATAATCTTAAATAAAAAATAATTCTAATAAATTTTATTTAAAAAATAATAAAATTAAAGAAATTATTATTTTATAGTATTTATAAAAATTTTGATTTACAAAAAAGTTATTATTTTTATATTATTATAATTTTATGTTTTATGAATTATAACTTGATATTAAATTTTAATAAATTTTATATTTATAGTAATTTAAAATATTGAAGATTACATTTTTAAAAAATATTAATATTTATTTTAAAAATAAATTTTGCCTCAACTGATTAATCTCCTAGTGTCCGTCTCCAAATATTAGTCATATACTCCTTCCATTAAAAAATATAAGACATTTTTTGAGAAGTTAGATGTTAAAAAATGTAAGGCATTTTTAATCTTTCGAGGTGTAATCATTGCCCTTTTTTTCAAAAGTGTTTCTATTGATAATGACTTTATATTTATTATAGGGTGTTTAATAGGGATAAGTATGAAAAAATAAGATTAGTTGAAAAGTAAATAACTACTTTATTAAGGGATAAAATTTGATTAAAAATATCTTATTTTTCAATAGAGGGAATAGAAAGAAAAACACTTTCAAATTACATTGTGGCCAAAAGGGGGAAATGATTTATTCAAGGTACCGAACCTTGATTGGTTATTAAACTAAATAAGACATAATTTTAAATTTAATAGTTAAAATTTTACTTAAATTGTGATCAAATCAATCTTTTTTTTTTTGTTACAATAATAACTTGACCTGAATTTTTATTTTCTATTACTATAATTCGTGCCAGACTTTGTACACAAGACGGCGCGTCGTTTTCATTTAAACAGAAAGTGTTTTAATTCCTTTACCCCCAAAAAAAAAAAAACTATGTTTTGATTTTTCTTTTTTTTTTTAAACAAAGAACAACTTGATAATTATTGGGGTGAGGAGGATGGCGGCCGATGAAAAAGTTCTCAGCACCCTAGAATTTGAATGCTTCTTTTTCCTCCACGTGGCGGGTTCCATATATATAGCTCCCACACCACGCAACAAGATTTAATCATCCTAAATATAACTCTTTGCATTTGTTGTTTGAGTAATGGAATTAATATAGACTTCAAGTATAAAATTTAAAGTAAATTGTACTGTAAAATGGTAAAATAATAGTTTGACCGGTAAACTATAGGAGGGGAATATCTAGAATCTTATAAACTCATTTTTTTGTGCATTTTTACTTTGAATATTTAAAATTGTGGTAATTTCTCTCTATCATTAACTTTAATTATTAGTTGATTAAAAAATTATAAAAAAGAATCAAGAATTACAAAAAAAATTTTAAAAAATTACATAAAAATTACAAATTTTATTTTTGAGCCCTTTTCTGTGATTCTTTCTTTTGGTCCTTTTTCTCATAATTTTATTATCAACTTATTGTTAAATTTAACAGTATGATTTTAAATATTTAGAGGTGAAAATATGCAAAAAAAAATTAGTTTAGAATATAGATCTCTTGAGTTTATAGTTTAAAGATCAAATTATCATTTTATCCTTATAAAAAGTGTAAATTTTGTGAATCCATTATCAAATTTATCAAACTATATCTATATTATATAAATAAATGAAAGAGAAAAAGGAGAGGGATTTTTATGACTTGTTTTTAACTAGTTCAAGCAAAAATATAATTATTAATCCTTATAATTTTATTAAATTTTATTTTTAGTCTTTATAATTTTTTATTCTGTGTTTTCAGTTACAGGAATTAAATACAGTAAAAATATTAAAACTATAAAAATCTGGATAACAAACCTCATCCAATTTTATTGAAATTATGAGGATTAAAAACACTAAAATAAAAGTATAAAAATTAAAAATAAAATTCAATAAAATTATAAAAATTAATGATTGTGCGTTTTATTAATTTAATTATTATGGGTCTGCATGGGCTGCGCGCATTTCTTAGTCAGATGATCATTCCATAATAAAATTGGACGATTCAGAATTTATTACGTACATTCATACATATGTACATATTAATTTTAATTCAAGAAAATATAACTTTTAATCCTTACATTTTATTCGTATTTTATTATAGATCTTTATACTAGTTTTTTGATATTTTAAGTTTTTATAATTTTATTTTTTTGATGTTCTAAGTCCCTCCAAAGTTTTTACACTTTGTTTATTTAAGCACTTAAAACACTGAAAAATAAAATTATAGGAACTTAAAACATCTAAAAAAATATAATGACCTATAACAAAATACAAGTAAAGTGTAGAGATTAAAAGTTATATTTTTTCTTTTAGTTTTCATACTTTTTCATTTTAACGTATACAAAAATGCAAAATACAAATATATTTTAATGACTTATCTCTCTCTTCTCTCTCTCTCTCTCTCTCTCTCTCTCTCTCTCACAATAAAACTGATCAGTTTTAAGTATAACAAAAATTAACAACGAAAATCTAAAATCTAGACATCCAAATTAGTTAACCGCGTCGTCATTATATATATATATATATATATATATAACTTTTGATACGTGTCAACTAGTTTTCGCCAATTTCCTTTTTATTATTTTTTGTCAATTTGAACCGAAGGGTAAATATTCGAATCACCTCCACGTAAGTGAAAGTGATAAGTACACAATACTTATGAACACTCATGTCACACATAGCATGCCTAAAACGGGTCAATTCATATTATCAAATTAAACTGCATGACCTCTACTCTCTTCTCAGCTTATTGTAGATATTTTTTCTGGTCCAAAATATAAGTATTTTTTTCCTAGCTAATTTTGATCCATAATACAAGCAACTTAGATTTTGTATGTAAAATTTCCATTTTACCCTTTCTACTTATTAACTTAAATTCTTGTGAGTTAATTTATAACCCTTTTTACTCACCATCAATTGGAACTAAGGGTTAAAAAAAAAAGCAATATAATACTCCATTTGTTCAAAAATGTAAGATATTTTTAACTGAATATCAATCCTCCAATAAAGTAATTACCTACTTTTCAACTAACCTTATTTTTTCATATTTATCCCTATTAAACACCCTACAATAAATATAAAGTTATTATCAATAAAGACACTTTAAAAAAAGGCAATAATTACACCTTGAAAGATTAAAAATGTTTTACATTTTTGAACATCCAACTTCTCAAATGCCTTACATCTTTAACATTCAACTCCTCAAAAAATACTTTATATTTTTAATGAAAGGAGTAATATATTTTCATGAGAATGTTGGTTTGCAGAATATCATTTAAAGTTACTTATATTTTGGATAAAAGTGAATATATTCCAAATGCATTAGAAGAAGAGTTGAAGATCATTTTTCTTTCTAAACTTTTTTTAAAAGCGCTAGGTATTTGATACTAAATGATGGGATATTTAAGTTTTATCCCCAAAAACAATTCTTTTAAAGAGCAAAACCACCATTCGATTAGATACCCGTCATTTTTTGTTATTTGTTGACTAGGAATAATCGTAAAGCCTACACATAGTAACAAGAAGAAATTTTAATTCATTTTGACTATACGATGAATTAAAAGTTGGAAGAACCTGATTTTAGTGGCAAAATAGAGGCAAAAATGACTCAAAATGCCTTATTGTTATTCTGTATGAGTCTCACAATTATTTTACGTCGATAACAAAGAAAATGAAGGAAATATTATAGAAGAGTGATTTTGCTTCTTAAAAATATTTCAGGGTGATATTGCCCTATCCTTAAATATAGGTGTCCAGCATTGCTCTCAAAAAAATGTTTTAAAGAGAAAAATACTCAAGAACTAATTACCTTGTTTGTGAAAAATACTCTCTTCCCAGCTTCAAGGGACGTGTTTGGCTGAATCCAAGACTTGCAAGCAAAATGAACACATCTCTCAATGGTTATGCTTTCCAAGAAGAACTCAGTTTCGTAACAGTTACTGATGGTAACAGCTCCAGGAATCCCAAAATCTGAGTCCACCTCAAATTCCACTTTGTAGGTCCCAGCCTCTGCTCCAAGTCTACGTTCTCTGGACCATTCCAGTACTGCTTCCTTGCTCAGCTTTGGCTCCAACCCCCTTCAATCATGAAATGATAGACTTAACAATGGTAACGATAGATGTTAATAATTAATGGGAAATAAAACAGTATGCCGACAAATAACAAAGTTATTGGAATAACGTTGACATACTCATATAAAATATTTTTAATTAAATTATATAAATTAATAAAAGTTAGTTATTTAATTAAAAATATAGTAATATTTTAATTTTAATCATAATTATTGTAAATAAAATAAATCTTTTTTTAAGTAAATTAACGAAAGTATTTATTTTTTCTTTTTAATTTAATAAAAGTATAATGATTCATCTATTAAAAAAATATGCTAACATTTTTTATATTTAAAAATAATTTTTTTTAAAAAAAAACCTCCTACATATATAGAGACGGAAAGTATAAGACAACACATGTAAATATTAAAATTGTGTGGCCTTATTATAAACCAAAATAATGAAGTAATCTATTTGAAAACTTTGACGTGGTTTAAGGGGTGTAACTGTCATAAAATTAATAGGTAGAGATCAGATATTTATAATTTACTAAGGCCAAATTGTCTTAAATATTGCAAATTTAAGGCTATAAATGGAAATCGTGGTCCCCGTATTGAACATGATGAAAAACTGGTTCTTTTATCTCCGAGAAACTCAAAGAAATTTCCTATGTTTACTATGTAAAAAGTCATGTAATGCCATATTCGTCTAACCCAGGAGATTCTGTGATGCTTATGACTATATATGGATATTTTCATCAGGATCGTTTTTTAAATTCCTCTTATCAAATTGATTAAGAACATACAAACTTGATCGATTAAAAACAACCAATTCCAACACAATTGACATGCAAAGGAACTTACTGATATCAAGTTGTGTGCTAACGAGCTGCATTAACAACACCTTGCTCTGACGTCGAGGTCTGAAATTATTGATTACGTTCTTCAACATTTCTTTGCTGTGGGCCTTATGGTGTCTCACAGAAACCATGGCTACTAGCTTCACACTAACACTGGTCCTCACAAGCTTCTCAACCACTGCCAATTCCTTGCCTGACTTTAATTCCTCCCTGAGAGCACCGTATCGGCGGCGTTTGCTTCACTCTCACCGTCATCATCTTCTTCCTCAGTCCAAGTTTTTCCCTTTTATTCCTTCGTAGAGAAAACACCTTCAATTCCTGAATGGCATGGTAGTGGTGGAGAGGATGAACATGAAATGAGTTCAAAAGCATTTTCTTCGTTCGTTCTTTCTCCCACTCTTAACGCGTTTTGAGCTCAGCACAAGTAGATGCATGATATATCGTTTCAATGAAGAGCGATGTGTAAATGAAATACTAAGTGAGTCTAGCTTATACCACGGTGACCTTAGTTGTAGAAATGACAAATAAGAGATCACAGAATAATATAATTATAATTACAATCTTTAAATTATTAAATTCAATTCACCAATAGATTATAATCCTTATTTATAATCAAATTTTTTTATTGTTGTTGATTGGCTTGATATTAATACACATTACTTTTCTAAATTCCTAATTAATTAACCTTACAAGATTCCCGTATATTTTTTATTGTTGGAATTTACAACTAACTCTTATAAATTTTTAATTGACTTTATAAATAATTATACATATATTTTATTATTTTTAAGTGATTTATTAATATATTGATGATAAAAAATTACAAATTGCTGCTTGCAATGCACAACTAATTTTAAAAATTTTTAATTGATGTTACATTTAATTTTAAGTGTATTTTGTTGATTTTTAACTGAATATTTATTTATTTTTAATTACAAATATAATCTAATGAGACAAAGACAAGCACAGCAAAAAGCAGAATAAGTTAAAGAAAAGAGACAAAGTAAAACATTGTAATCTGCGTTCCGTTGATTTTCACGAGGTACAGTGCTGCATTATTTATAGAAAATAATTACAACCAATATAAAGATGACAGGTGTAAAGTAAAGAATAGTCTAGAATCGATCTAAGTCTTGTGCGTCTCTCATGACCTCTTGCCGCTGCAGAATTCTTTTTTGTTTATGTGTTTTAACAAAATACATGATCTATTATTGAGATTTCCCTTATTTTTATAAGCATAAAGTCAAGACTATTCCATATCATTAAACTTAACTGCAAGCTATTAGCCAGACGCCTTTAATTAGAACAGTCCATACACTATCTTTCTTTTAAAAAATTAATATATTTGATTATAAATTAGTAAAAATTTGTATAATAGATTATGGTTATTAATTTTGAAAGTCTCTGTTACAGGATTCCTTGCGTTAATCTGTTTCCGTTTTTATTATTGAATTTTAGTGGCTCGATGGACCCTAATTAATGCTCTTGATAAGTTACATAAATTTTTAACATTCAGATTTATTTCTTTGATTTGAATTTCATATTATTTGAATTTTTAATTCTCTTGAGGCATCGAATTAAAATTATTTTATAAATTATAATTTGAAAACGATAACAACGCTGAAATAATAAACTGGTTTTAACAAGTTTTTAAAACACAGATATATAAACTGATGGTGAAGCTAGAGCAATCATGGAGATAAAACATTGGCCAAAAAAGATAGACATGACTTGCCATAAAATATATTCTAGAGTTAATCATGCAAAACGTGTTTTTTTTCTGTGCAACTAATGCAA